TGACACGTGACCCCAGGCAGTGGAGGAACTGCTGTCCCTCACCCTGAAGGGAGTCCTAGTGAGGTCTGCGTGTATCTTCAGCCTGTGACACCACCCACCTGCGACAGCAGCCCTCCCCCTGGCTTCCCGGGGCGCAGTGCTCATCTCCCTGGAGAACAGAGTCTGCTCCCCGGCTGATTCCCGCCTTCTCCACACACGTGTGCTGGGAGTGTAGCTGGGTTCCTCTTCAGTATGTTTCTCATACATACAGAGTCTGGTCAAAGTTCACACTTCAGCAGTTCTCTGTGCTAATCAAGGTCTAGAAGTGAAAGGCCTGCAGCGTGAGCACCCCTTGGAATTCTAGAGGCCAAATATAACTTGTGCTGATCTCATGTCGACTGAATAAATTTAGTAATAAATTATTTCCATAACTTCCTCTTCCCTCAAATGTGTATACATTTTTGGTCGACTGTCTATTTCGATCTGCAGCACAACTATCTACCATTTCTCATCTAACTATCCATTGAGATACCTATGAATCTACCCACCACCTCTCAGGGTTCTCCTACACCTAGTATCTTTGTATCTGTCACTGTGTGAGTATATATTTATCTCTGTCACACACACACACTCACACACACACCTGATCTCCAGAGCAGTTCAGTCTCCTCCTATCCTCTCCTGAGTAACTATACACGAACTTTGGCTCCTGCACACTCACAAAGACCTCACCCACTGCACCGGCCTGGTCCCTGTACCACTCATCTTCCTTCCTCAGCCCTGCACTGCTGCCTCTCACCTCTCGCCCCAGCCTGGGAAGGAATCCTGTGGATCCCCCGTCCCATCACTCTGCTGCCCCGATGGGCCTGGGCCCAGTGGATATTATGTCTCCTTGAACCGTTGTCTGGTGCCTTCTATCTTCTTCCACACCAACCCCAGGCCCTGCCCCAGTCTCATCCTTACCCTGCAGCCTGGGATCCTATTTAAATACATGCATCGCCTCTGTCTCTTTCATCACCTGCGGTGGCTCTGCTGTCACTCACAGAGACTCCTGAGCACTGATCCTGGCCACACAGCGCTGCAGGCACTGACTACACTCTGGACCTCATCCTTACACTGTCCCATACTTATACATGTTCTGGCCACAACCAGGGCCAGGTCAGCACCCCAGGATTCACCCCAAAACAGTGTCCCAACGATACCTCCACCGTGTCCCCCGGACATCCTTCCACCACAGGACCAGGAAACCCCTCCCACAACCTGCAACCTTCCTCCTGAAAATGGCACCTGCAACTGTCCCCTTGGCACACTCCCTAACTTCTGCCCTCACCCTTCTCCTCAGCATCCAGCTCCCCTGACACAGCACTGTGTACGTGACCAACGTGTTCCTTTCATTTCTGTCAGAGGTCAAGGGTGTCTGGGTGTCCCCGGCACACATAGCAGTGGTGGAGTCACAGGCAGGACCTATACATCTGCACTAAGTGGGAATGAGTTTTTTCTTGGAGAAGCAAAGAGGGAACATGAGAGTCTCTCTCTCTCTCTCTCTCTCTCTCTCTCTCTCTCACACACACACACACACACACACACAGAGCTGACAATGCTGACTCTGTGGAAATACAGGAACATGAGCATTACCCAGCAGCTACAGCCTCTGTGTGACCACACTTACAGCAGCGAGGCCCTAACGATTTCACCATCTGCTCCTTGTGCCCACTCAGTAACACCCTGTTGTCCTGTATTTGAGAACAGAAACTGGGTGACAAATGCAAAGCGACTTCCAGAGACGGTCACAGAACAGATATGCATGGGGCTCAGCATCGCCCTTCAAATCTGTGTCTTAAATGCGTCCTTGGCCTGAGATGACCTCCCAGGGGTAAGAGTCCGAAGCATCCCCAAAACAGCAAATGGGGAAAATGCAGCCTCTTTGGAACAGTGACCACTCTGTCCTCGGGGAGCAGCGTCCTGTGCGAGGTCTCCAGGCCTGTGCCGCATCCCGGTGCATCTCACCTGTTTGCCACAGGCCCTGATGGTGACTCCTCAGGGAAGAGCGTGGATGGCAGCACAGGGCGGGCTCCTCCTGCCTCAGCCCAACACCCTCAGGCTCCGCCCACCCTCCGCCCAGCCTCACTCACAGCTCCCAGCCCTGAACGCAGGGAAACTCACCACTGCGAGCCCAGATCCTCTGCTCCAGAGCAGACACTGAAACAGAGAGAGCTGGTGAGAGGCGCCTACCTGGGACCCGGTGACCCCGCCCCTGGGCTCAGGACACAGACCTGGAGTCAGGGAGCCAAAGGGCTCATCTAACCCCGGCCAGAGCTCACAGAGGAAGAGCCCTGTGAGGAGCCTAGGTGATGGACTCGGCCATCTCTGAACTCTTCCCCTCCTGCCCCCCACCTCCCTTCCCTACAGCGCTCACCAAGTCCAAGCAGCAGAGCAAGGCCAGGGGACATGGCGCTGCCTCAGCCCAGGTCTGCACGGTGCTCAGCAAGCGGCTCACACAGTCACACTGGGGACACCAGGCAACAAGAAGACAGATGCCCAAGTCCTTGTCACAGGGTGATGGCTTCAGCTACTAAACAAGAAGGGAACTGCTCTTGTACAAGGCCAGGCCTTGCTCCTTGGCTTCCCCTGCATCTCTCAGTTCCTGCCTGGATTTCCTGTTCTGACCTTCCAGGCGACCTGTGGGTAGCCCCATCTGCCGGAATCTGCACGTCTACTCTCTGAGATTTGAAGGAAGTGATACACAATGTGACATACAGCACAAAGGCTGCATCCCATCTTCAGAAGCCACTGTCCAGTCTAGGTGGGTGATCTTCAGGCAGAAACCAAACCAGGGGAGATGGAGGAGGTAGTGCGGTCCCAGTTCAGGTGCCTGGGGACCAATGGTCAGGAGCAGGTGGATGCTCTCTGTTCAAGGAACTTGCATGACCCGCTAGGAAGCTACAGTGTGCAGGAAAAAACATAGTATCACACACTTAGAATCGTGATAGGTGAGCTCTTCTGTGTCCTTACAAACATAAAATTCCACTGAGGTTAGTGCAGGTGTGGGAGGAACTTTAGGAAGTCACTGTTTATGCTCAAGAGCGCGAAGTGTTGTGGGATGTCTCTAGCCAGGAACAAGGATACCACCCCAGCACTGTGTCTGCCAATAGCACCTCTACAAGGTGGTCAAAGGGAGCAACATGCCCTGAGTGACGGCACCCCGAGGGTTCTCTCCTGTCCCAATGCGATTGCACATCTCAAGGCCTTTGCAATGGGAACCTAGTCCACTTGGCACAGGCGTGAACTTTCCCTAACCTGGGAGATACTGAAAGTCTTGAATACTTGTCCTCTTACAGAGGCCTTTTGTGAACTTTACCTTCTTTACTTCTCTATAAATATTTCAGATAGCGAAGACTTCCTGCATAATAAAGGAGACAACAGATGGCTTCTCTCTTGTCACACAAATGTGTGTGTGATTAAACATACTTTTTTCTTACTCGTTTTTATTAGTACATATTTGAAATACGCATTGACCACGTCCGTCGTGGGGAACGCATAACCCTACTCAGTGTATCTTCTGTTTCCCACTCCCCTCCGCTCCCTTCAACCTTCTTCCCCTCCTTATTCGCAGAAGCTTCCTTTGTGGGATTTCCCCCCATTCTCTTGTTCCCTTTTCCTCCCCTTCCCTTCCTTTGCCCCCTCCCTGCTCCCCTCCCATCTGAACAAGTTCTCCCTACGTCCCAGCACCTGTCCTCAGCACGCTCCTCCTTTAACTTGGTTCCTCACACAAGACAAACAATGCAGCATGGAACCTGAGTGCCCCATTAGTTTCACTACAGGTTATAACCATAAACTTCAGTCCCTTTAGAGCATGTGATGCGACTTCTAAATCGAACCAGTGATGTATTTCCTAACATAACGGGTCCCCTGCTCTCTCCAGGATAATTCACTGAACTGGGTGGAGCTGTTTTCTTCCTGGGGAAGGATTTTATTGGTAAAAGTGAGTGTTCAAATCTAGAAAAGGACAACCACTCTCCGAAACCCACATCCCCCTCGGGAACGAGGTCTGTGATGTGGACTCACACTCACACTGTGCAGGAAGCCAGGTGGGAGACTGTTCGCAGGGATGACCATTCAAATAGGTTCACGCCCCTGCATTGGCCCGCAGAGTGATCGTGCCTATCCTAGGCTTCGCACCAAATTCTATGGAAAAGGGGTAAAATAACCAAAACAACACCCTCAGGTGAGATTTAACATGCCGTGCTGGATGGTGGAATCCCAAAAAAAGACACGAATTATCATTGCTCAAAGGGTGAGCTTACAAGAACTTTCTGGACAGCTTCTGGAGAGCCGCAGACCAAGCCCTAGTGCTGAGATTTTGGTGATGTGTGAGGTGATTACCCAGGAACCAAAACTGCATCTCTATTGTTCGTCAGGTCTCGAAACAAGCACCTGACAGGCTGGCGCTGTCCGTTCCATTGGTGCTGAAAGAGGAGTTCCAGGAGTGCACCTGATCCCTAGAACAAACCCCACAGGCACCCCAGCCTGCTGATGCGAATGCAGCTGTGCTCTTGTGTGCTGCTGAGGATGTGGAGTTCCTCTTGACACGATGACTGCAGGAGAGACGGTGTGTTCACTACTTCATTCTGGCAGGAGAGAAAACAATTTCAACGCTGAGGATCCTAAGTCCACTCAGCTCCTCCTCCATCGCTCCCTCTGCAGTACGGATTTTGTGATCACTCTCCACACACATCCATCTGGGTCCCCCGGGGTGTCTTCTGCCCATCACCCACAGTCACACTCCCTAAGCCCTCACTCACCAGCATTTCTGTGATTGTTCTCCCTACCCTTGGAACTCAAAATTCACTTCCAGGTGCCCGCAAAGCACAGGGAGAGGCGACCTCCACCAGATCACAAGGGCGAACCCTAAGGTGAAGCAGTTCATCCAGGGTGTGAGGCGCTGAGGTTCAAAGCCAGGACTCAGCGTTTGCCCAGGGCAGTTGCCAACCCTTGAGAACAAAGGGGCACACGACTGGTAGCATCAGGTTTCAGGCCACAGCACTGGGAACGGGATGCCTTCTCCTTCTGTGAGAGGCTGAGGGACCACTGAGATGAGCTCCCAGGCTGAACCCCGATGGTGATGCAGCACAGATCAGACCCACACGTTCCCAGAGCCGTGATTCACAGTGCTGAGTCACCATGGAGAGGCCAGGGTATCAGGAATGAGTGGGTTATCACAGGGGAGGCAGCAAGGGCAACTGGAGAAGGGCTGCAGGGTGGTCAAGACCAGCGGGTCCCCAGCAGCCCTGGAGTCTGGGCTTCTGGGACAAGCTCTGTGTCCTCACCAAGGCCGCAAGACCAAGGGGGCAAGAAGATAGCGTTGTGCACTTCAGGGATCCAGGGAAAGGAGCGCTGTGCAAGGAGCACCCGGCCTCACACTGCCCCCTAGGTTGGGCTGCAGCCGTGCCTGAAGACCGGTTCTCCCACAGCTCAGGCCCGTGGGACACATCCCTCCAGTCCCCACTTCTCCCTCACAGAAAGCACCTCCTCAGGTGCTCAGCCCAGAGGACCTGTCCCACCTTGGCAGTCCTTCTTACCTATCCTTCAAGGCCCTAAGGAACACTTTACTCAATTTGTGGCTAGATTACAAGAAGCCACTCACAGACAGGTTTCAAACATGCAAGCTGCAGATGTTCTAATGATACAATTGGCACATGCAAATACTAATGGAGACTGCAAGCAAGCTTTATATCCTGTAAAATCAACCAGCGATCTACAGCATATATTCGAGCTTGTCAAGATATTGGAACTGAATCATATAAGACAACCATAATGGCTCAGGTGATGGCTCGTTTTAATAATGCAAGAGGGGGTAATATAAAATGTTTTAACTGTGGAAAATGGGGCATATTTGAAAGAATCGTAGAGTTATTGGTGGATCTAATGAGACAGTCACTGTGACTGCAGCAGGTCGTGGCAACTATGCCTCTGGCACAAGGGGCTTGAGTCTCACTCCTGGACCCTGCCTGAGATGCCACAAAGGGAGACATTGAGCGAGATATTGTGATTCTAAAATTCATAAGGATGATACACCTCTGCCAAAAACAGATAGGGCCTTTCCTCAGGCCAGCCAAACAATAGAGGAAATATAACCTGTGAGTCAGAATATCAATCAGCTTTATCCAGTGCAAATACACCAGCAGATTCAACAACAGCCTTAAGGGTGGCTCCCCAGAGAGATATAAATTCCCTCACCAGGGGAACAATACAAATTACAGGATTACATCTTCCTGCATCTTCCTTCCCTTTCAGGGTCACTCTTATAGTGGGGGACAATACTACCCCAATTCCCACAGGAGTTTGGGGTCCACCACCTGATGGAACAGTTAGTCTTGTACTGGGAAAGACTGATCTAAATTTAAAAGGAACAACTATTGTACCTAGTGCGATTGATGGTGACTGTCAAGATGAAATACAAGTTTTTGCGTGTGCTATGGATCCCTGGGTTTTCGAACAGGGAGAAAATGTGGCACAATTTATTTTGTTACCTATAGATAAACCTTCCGTTATTAAATATAGACAGTTCATGAGGAAACAAGACTCTCAGAGCAAGACTACAAAAAAGAGACTTATTTTACATGGGAAGTGACTAAAAACAGACCTATGTGTTTTATAAAGATCAATGGAAAATGCTTTGAAGGTCTAACAGACACTGGTGCAGTTGTGTCTGTACTTGCATTAGAACAATGGCCCACTACATGGCCAACACAAAGGGCCCTACCTCCTTAATAGGACTGGGGTCCCCTCAGCAGGTACTTCAAAGTGCCTCACCCCTGCCTTATGGGGGACCAGGCCATACATGGCACCTATTCTGGTCAATTTGAGACTTGTTATGAAAGTAGAAATTAATATGAATTAATGATTCTGATCTTAACTTTAAGCAAACAAATTCCGATTCTGAAATCAAACAAGTAGATTCAAATCCTAAAGTTAGACAAATGATGATTCACATAGGATATCAAAAGATAAAGGGCTAGGAAAGAACTTACAAGGAATCAAAGAACCTGTAAGGACTGCACCTAAGAGTGCCAGGTGTGGTAAGGGATCTCAACAGGTTTTTTTTTAAATGAGGGCCATTGATTCATCTCCCTTCTAAACAGCTCTGCATTTACAATGGAAAACATGGCTGGGGATCTAACCCAGCGGCACAAGTGCCTGCCTGGCAAGTACAAGGTCTTGAGTTTGATTTTTGGTACTTTAAAAAAAAAAAAAAAAAAAAAAACAATGGAAAACTGAGGAGTCTTTTTGGGTAGATCAGTGGTCCCTTAATAGGGAGAAACTCATCCAGCTACACCAATTAGTTGAAGAACAATTCCAGCTAGGGCATTTAGAAAACTCAGTTAGTCCTTGGAATACTCCTGTCTTTGTTATCCCAAAGATATCAGGCAAATGGAGGTTATTGAAAGATTTAAGAGCTGTGAATGCTTGCTCACTTCTTATGGGGGTGTTGCAACCGGGATTACCAAGCCCAGCTACGGTTCCCAGAGACTGGCCCCTCATCATAATTTATCTAAAAGACTGCTTTTTTAACATTCCTCTTTTTCACACAGATAGGCCGCATTTTGCCTTCTCTGTACCTAGTTTAAAGAGTCAGTGCAGCAATATCAATGAGTCACATTACCTCAAGGAATGCAAAATAGTCTGACTTTGAGCCAGGTCTTTGTACTGCAGGCCTTACAGAGAGTTAGACAAACTCTATATCGGCAAGTAACATTTGCAGATTTTATAGGATAAATTGATAATCATTTTCCCAGTGATCCTATCTTTCAATTTTTTCTGAAGCATTCATGTATTATTCCAAAAACTACTAAATTTGAACATATTTCTGATACAATAGTCTATTTTACTGATGGTTCATCAAGGGACAAGGCCACCATTCCGAGTAAGGATTATCAACTGGTAATAGAGACTGCAGGACCCTCTGTACAAAGGTCTGAAATTACTGCTATTTTATTTGTCATACAACAGTTTAACCCTATTATAGTTCGTGATTCAGCCTATGAGGTCTGTCTTACTCAGAGACTCGAGAGTGCCCCCCTGCGGTTGATTTTAGAGCTGCCTTTATTTAATGTTTCTCAGGCTACAAAAGGCAACTTGTAATCGAACGGCACCCTTTTATATTGGTCACATAACGTCTCACTCTAACTTAGTTGGATTTTTAACATATGGGAATCAACAAGCTGATTCATTAGTTGCTTTTATTTCTCCATTGATGCAGCTGCACATCAAAATAGTAAGGCTTTAACCAAAGAATTACAATTATCCAGGTCTCAAGCAAGACAAATTGCTATGTCCTGTCCTACTTGTCAAAAGGTTCCTAGGTGGGGCTGGGGATTTAGCTCAGCGGCAAAGCACTTGCCTGGCAAGCACAAGGTCGTGAGTTCGGTTCCCGGTACCGGAGAAAAACCAAAAAAAAAAAAAAAAAAAAAAAAGGTTCCTAGGCCTCTGCACAAGAGGGTGGTGACTCCAGAGGCTTAAAACAATGGTATTTGGCAAATGGATATTACACACCTTTCCTCTTTTGGCAAACTGCAATATATTCAGGTAGCTGTTGACACATATTCTCATTTAACTCATGCAACTTGACACACAGGAGAAAAAAATGGCCATGTTCAACAACATTGCTTGTCAGGATTCCTTCTATGGCTGTTCTACATACCATAAAGACTGACAATGGGCTTTCACATATTAGTAAACCGCTACAATCCTTTTTTCAACTATGGCACATTAAACACATTACAGGAATCCCTTATAATCCTCAAGGACAAGTGATTGTAGAAAGAGCACATCTGTCTCTTAAAACTCAATTGCAAAAACAAAAAGAAGGAATACAGTTATCCCCATAAGCACAGTTAGATTTAGCCATTTTTACTCTAAACTTTTTAAATCCAGCTGCAGACAATAAATTGACCTTTGGGAGCTTCATCGGTCAACATCCCATGATGATGCCCAGCATAGCGCTCGAGTGCTTTGGAAGGACATCAACACAGGGAAATGGAAAGGACTAGTTCTGCTAATAATGTAGGGAAAAGGTTATGCTTGTATCCTAACAGATGATGGATCCACAAGGTGGCTGCCATCTAGGGATGTACAACTTTGGCAAGAGACATGACTGACCCTGGAGACAGTCACTCATGATGGATCCACTGATCTGAGCCCTCCAGAGGATGAGCCCATCCCATGAGGCTTGCCCCCAAGGACTTGCCAATCAGACAGGCAATCTACCACCAACCCCTGAAAATCTGATTGACTTATTGGCTCCACTGACAGTGTCCTGTGTATAAAGCCTGTTTCAGGAACAGAGTATTGGACTTATCCTCTGTCTTGGTTACATTCCTCTCATTGCTGGGACAAAATACCTGATGCCCAAAATTAAGGAAGGAAAGGTTTATTTCACTTACAGTTTGTGGAGGTTTCAGTCCATACTTGGCAGGTTACAAGGCAGAGTGGCACATGGCAGAGGGCTACAGCTCACGGCAGCAGAACACAGCAAAAACAACAAACACTAAAAAGGAGGAACGGCGGCAAGCAGCCTCTTCCTCTCCCTTACATATGCAAATGATGCACCCCAGGGTGGGTGTAGCTCTCACACCCATAATCAATCAAACTCTAAAAGCCTACCCCATGACCACATGAGGCTTTGGGGGGACACCCAGACACAAACCATAACATGATCCTAATCCACCACAACTTGGGCGGATTCTCCACCTGAGATTTATCATGAACCAGACACAACTGGCCCTAAATTACATAAAAGGTTTTTATTTTTTTCAAATTCTTCTTATAAGAGATCTCTGCTAATTGATCTATTTTTTTAAAAAAGTTCTGACTAGTCTTTTTATAAATACAAACTTAAAAAATTATAAAAATTTCTATAATTCAATTTGGCCAAAAATATATTTGAGTGCACTCTGATTTTATAAGTAAATTGTCTTCTGTGTGTGTCTTTGTTTGTTTGTCTCTCTGTCCAATCTGTAAATAGCTATTTTATTTGAGCTCAACAAATTTTTCCTTTTTTAGTATTTTTGGATTTTTGAGGCATTTGTCTATAATTTCATTTGGCTTATACATAAATGTCATCTAAAATTAAGGATATGCTTCCACCAAGGTTACCAGCTGGCCAAAATGATGTCAAAATTGGTTTTATAAATGTCATGAATACTATTGTTTCATATATTATGACTTGAGAGTCTCTTATTGTTCAAATTTAGTTAAGTATTGAGATTGCATTTTCATGGGTTATCAGAAGTTTATCAAGTTAATTCCACAAAAAATCCCTTAGGATGAGGAGAAACTGTTGGCAGGACTCCAACTGATGAATAAGGAAGCAGCTGCCTGGAAACATTCTTCCACTTCTTGTTCATTAATGGGAAGCTCCAATAATCTCCATAGCTTTATGGGAGACACTTAATAAATATT